GAATGCTGACTAAATATCAATATAAAGCTGGGCCGACAAGGCCGTCATAACTACTACAGCTGATAACCAACCAAATATACCTACAAGGCCTGCAAGCCCACCATACTGCACTAACTAACAAGATATGTCTACAAGCCTCTACTGATAGATTTACTGTGATCGAAACATCTTTTCGACCCTACTCATACCATATATACATATATATACAATATGTACATAAGGTTCTAAACCTGGCAACTCCGAAAGGCATGGAGCTTATCATCAAGCTGAACTCGGGCAACACTTAATGAGGAGGTCTACCTGTCTGAACCTGCACGCATGAAATGCAACGCCCCCAGAAAAGGGACATCAGTACAAAATAATGTACCGAGTATGCAAGGTAATATACTGAAAGTTGAAACTGAACTGATAATATAATAACTGCATGTAGCTGGAAGTCAAAGATAATCTGAAGATATGCTTACCTGCTGATACTGACTCAACTCTCTCAACATAGTAAGTAAAATAGTTATCCAGACCTATAAGGCTCGGTATATATATATATATATATAACTGCTCTGTCGTAGTAGGCTCACTCATAGGTGCTCGACCATACTAGGCTCTGTATCTCGACCAACTGGGCTCGCTCATAGGCACTCAACCATAGTAGGTTTGGTATATAACTTGTCATCTGATCAGAGGTTTCCTAATAGGGGTCTGCCCATCGATTATAGCTCGATGGTAATGAGAATACTTTAATATTGTATATATAAACTCGCTGCTCTCTTGACTTGAAGAAGGAAATACTCAATTGAATATTGTAACTTACAAAACTAGGAAAATACACAAAAATTTCGGGATATGAATTTTTCTTTATGCCTCGTTATCAAACTCGCGTAATTACGAGATCATGCAAAATGAAGGAAAGACTTAGACTTAACATATCTGGGGTAGGAAAAAAAAAGTTTGATGTTCTTGGAAAAGATTGCACCGTACTCCCCTTAGAATCGCAAAATCCTGTTGCTATAACACAATATAATTCCGGATAAAACAATTTGCTAGAGCTTCATCCATCACCACCTTCATTTTCTGATTTTTGAGAAGTCTTTTAGTAGCTAATAACGTTACCCAAGCAAATATGAATAATAGTTCTCTTAAATGAATTATAGAGGCTTATTATTAAAGTAGTGTGGGCCCTACTTGATAAAGGTTATTTGGTAAAACAATTCCCCTAAGTGTGCCACTTTGCTAATGGTGTAAGAGTCACTCATTTAAGCTTATTCCTGCTGCCACATTTTGGCTCACTTGTCTTAGCCAAAAACTTTGATTAATCAATTATTAATTAACTAGTTAATTCCCCCATTATCCCATAATTCACATAATTAAGGATTATCTCAAATTACTTAAAATACTACTCCTTTTTAACACACCTTATACACCTTACTATCATTGTCATGAGGCACCTTGTATGGTACTAGTCCATAAATACCGGGTATTTTAGCTCGGGCCATATTTTATCCCAACATGTCAAACTTTAACGAAAATTTATTTTCTTTGATTTGCCAACTCTCTCACCTTCACGAATTTACTCATCACTTGTTTGAAATAGCATAATGCTTATAATTTTAAAATAATCTCATTTCCGAACTTACGCCGATTAGCTTACGATGAAACTCTAACATATGAAAACGCAAGATATAACAATGCAAGCTTTTCGTTACTGAACAAGTTGGTCAAGAAGGACCTGGTTCATGGTCTGCCTAAGTCAAGATTCAAAGATCACAAGATGTGTGATGCATGTGTAAGAGGAAAGAAAGTCATGTCCTCCTTCAACCCCCAAAAGGAAGTAAGCACCTCAAAGCCACTTGATCTCCTCCATATGAATATATGTGGACCTATGAGGGTACCAAGTAGAGGAGAAAAGAAGTACATTTTCGTCATAGTATATGACTACTCCAGATTCACATGGACCTTATTCCTCAGAACCAAGGATGAAACTTTTCCAGATTGTAAAGTAGATTCAAGTGAAGATGAGTCATAATGTTGTTAGTATAAGATCTTATCACGTTACAGAGTTTGATAATGCAAATTTCAACAAATTCTATGCTAAAAATATATAAGTCATAATTTTTCAGCTCCCAGAACACCCCCAACAAAATGGTGTTGTGGAGAGGAAAAATAGGACTCTTGAAGACATGACAAGGACTATGCTGATTGACAGTGGTATTGCAAAAAGTTTCTAGGCGAAGGCAGTCAACACTGCGTGCTACTTGGTGAACAGGTGCATGATCAGGTCCCTCTTGAATAAAACCCTATATGATTTGTTAAACGGGAGGAAACCCAAGCTAACTCACTTGAGGATGTTTTCTACAAATGTTTCATTCTCAATAATGGTAAGGAAGCGCTGGAAATATTTGATTCCAAGAGTGATGAAGAAATCTTTCTTGGTTAATCATCACAAAGCAAAACATACAAGGTTTACAACAAAAGGACTCAATGTGTTGAATAAATCATACATGTGATCTTTGATGAATCACACCACTTATGTGGGAAAGATTCACATGATATGGTCAAGACGGAGAGCAATCAAAGGTTCCTGGAGAAGTCATTGATATGGCAAATAGAAAGGCTGACTTGATGATGCAACAGAATCTCCAGCTGATACAGAGGAACTTGGTTCCTCTATCACAATAATTGAAGCAAAAAACAAAGTTGTTGATGTCGTGTAAGGAACTCCTAATGCTGAGCTGAGAAGTGGCACTCACTCCTCCATTAATGCCAATAATGGATCCGATTTAGAGGAACCTGGGTCTTCTCTCACAATGAGATTCAGGTGTCTAACTGAAAGCACAAAAGTTCACATCCTCTTCAAATTGTGATCACTCCTCTTGACTCAGGGATTCAAAATAGATCAAAGATAAGAAGTTCACTTGCCTTCTCAGCTTTCCTTTCTCAAATTGAGCCTAAAAATATCAAGCAAGCTTTAAAAGATGTTGACTGGATTAATGTTATGCAAGATGAAATCCATTAATTTGAGAGAAATAGTGTATGGAATCTAGTTCCTCGACCCTCAGACATAACAGTTATAGGAACTAGGTTGGTGTTCAGAAATAAGATTGACAAATTTGGGAATACAACAAAGAATAAGGCTAGGTTAATAGTGCAAGTCCATAATCAATTAGAAGGGATCGACTATGATGAGACCTTTTCCCCAATTGCTAGAATGGAAGCAACCAAAATCCTCATTGCCTTTCATCTCATATAGAATTCAAATTGTTCCAAATGGATGTCAAAAGTGCATTTATGAATGGATACTTAAAGGAAGAAGTCTTCGTCAAACAACCACCTGGTTTTGAGTGTCATGAGCATCCTGAACATGTATTCAAACTTGACAAGGCATTATATGGACCGAATGAGTCCCCTCATGCATGGTATGAAAGGTTGTCCAAGTTCCTTCTTGAAAATAATTTTACGAGAGGAAAAATCGACAACACCCTATTTCTGAAGAAACGAGGGAGGAACCTGCTCACTGTGCAAGTTTATATTGACAACATCATTTTTAGTGCAACAAATGATTCCTTGTGTGAGGAGTTTGCAAAGTTTATGGGAAGCGAGTTTGAAATGAGAATGATGGGAGCATTGAATTTTTTCCTAGGGTTGCAAGTTAAGAAAACCCCTAAGGGAATGATGATAAGTTAGCAAAAATACATTAAAGAGCTCCTGAAGAGATTTGAGATAGAAAGTTCAAAGACCATTGATACTCCTATTGCCACTGCCACTCATTTGGATATGGATGAACCTGGTTTCTCATGTGAACGAAACCATGTATAGAGGTATAATTGGTCCACTCTTTTATCTCATAGCTAGTAGACCTGATATCTTATTCAGTTTGAGATTATGTGCAAGATTCCGATACAGTCCAAAAGAATCTCATCTGAAAGCTGCCAGGAGGATTCTAAGGTATCTCAAAGGAACACACGACCTGATTCTTTACTATCCTTTAGGAGACAATTTCGACTTAATTGGGTGTGCTGATATTGATTATGCTGGTTATCTAGTAGATAAAAAGAGCACTTCTGTCATAACACATTTTCTGGGGTCCTGTTTGATTTCACGGGGTACAAAGAAATAAAACTTTGTGGCTCTCTCAACTGCAGAAGCTGAGTATGTGGCAGTTGCATCCTGCTGAGCTCAACTGATGTGGATCAAGAAACAACTAGAGGATTTTAGTATATTTTCTGATTGTGTGCCATAACTGTACGATAACACTAGTTCTCTAAACATGGCAAAGAACTCGGTTCAGCATAAAAGAACAAAGTACATTGATGTGTGACATCATTTTCTCAAAGATAATATTGAAAAAGGTCTTATATGCATGAAGTTTTGCAAAACAGAGGACCAAGTAGCAGATATCTTCACCAAAGCACTGAGCAGATAGCACTTTGGAAAGAATTGATTGGCATTGGGGCTGATAAAATCAAACTGAGCACCAAGTCCCTCAATGATTGGCTATGACAGAATGAACAGGTAAAACTGCTAAAAAGTGTATTTTGGAAATTTCTAACTCATCTCTATACCGTTACAGGTAAAAACTCATGTCAACTACAGAGCAAACAAGCAGCTAATAACGTTGCATCTTGGTAAAAGGATGAGGCTCATATTTATAAAACTAAGTCAGGGAACCTGGTTCCCTTGATTCATGCTAGTAGTTCTTTTTTACTTTCATGCACATTTTAAACGACTATAAAAGTGCCACATCATTAAATGTTTCTGTCTTTGTCTCATCCCTTCAAAACTCAAGCGTCACACCCATCTGTAACTGGCCCGTCTACCCAATACGTTACTCGTGTTTATAATCGGTCCCTCACTCCCTCTAAATAACCCCAAAAGGCATCTCTTTCCCAACTATCCACATCAAAGACACAAAACTCTCCTCTTTCAAAAGCAAACCCTCTCTTTCCCATATCTCTACTTCCACCATCCATTATGTCTCAGAATCAAGAACTTTCCAGCATTATTAGTGTGATCCCTACTATGTCTTCGTCTCTTAAAGCACATGAGTACACATCTGGGTCGCAACTATAACCCAATCAAAATCCTACACCAGACCAACAACCACCTACTAGTTCTTTACCAACCCAATCGAGTTTGGGTTCTCACCGCAGTCGTAAGACTCAGAACCCCAAAAGATTCATTGTTGGGACCTTTTTTCTACCTCACCGAAAAAAATGCAGAAGACAAAATAGTAGGCGGAGATGATGGACAAGAAGTTTATAGTCAAAAAGGTCAGGAAAGTTCTGAAACCCAATAAGATGTGGTTCGTAGTGATGAAGTTTCAGCAGTGCCCATTCCAAGCTTTGACCTAAATATTGCCACACCTACAGATATTGTTCCTTCTGCATCTTTTGATTCAATTTTGGGGATAAATGAGAAAAAGGCCATTGAGAACATATTACTAATTGCTGCAGGGGGGGTTAGTTGGAGGATATGAGTGTGATGATAAGACCATTGAGTCTCATGGGGACGATGAAAGTCACAGAGCTGAAGGTGGGGAACTGGTGCCTTTTGAGAATTTGGCACCAGTCAATACTACTAGGGTAACAATAGAGGGACCTGAACCCTCTGCCAAAGAAGAGCACTCTGCTCCTACTTGGGATGAAACCTCTTACTCCTCAAAAGAGCCCTAGGTTAGTACTGATCCTATTTCTTCCCCTTACTTCGATAAAACAGTGAGAAAGATTTTGATAACGTGACTGTGGCTAGTTTCATCGCTGCTAGAAGTGGTATGGCAGCTCTCAAGGAACCCACTCTTAAAAGACCCAGTACTAGGGGGCAAAAGAAAGAAGCTTTTGAGAGTTCTCTAAAGAGAAAGAAAGAGGAAAACAAAAGAATGAGGCTGATGAAAGGGGGGAAAACTGGTGAATGAAGGGGATGTGTCTTCAACAAATATAGTAAATGTTGAAGATGAAATGATGGCTAAGGAACCTGATTCCTTAATCTGCAAGTCCATGAGAGGTTCATCTAAAAAAGCTATGGCGTTTGATGAAGTAAAGATTGTCGAAGGAGAGAAGTTCAATGAGAAGTCTGAAAAGAAGGAGAAAAATGTGAGGAAGTCAGCAAAAAAGAAGGCTAGTGACAAAGAGGAACCTGGTTCCTCTAAGAAGGCCAAAGTGAATATGTCAAAGGATAAAGGTAGAAAAAACCTTAGGAAGCAGAAGATGTTGTGGGGTAGAACTTTTGAAACTAACATTCTCGAGATGTCAGGAATGAGGTAGGTGTTCAGCATTTGTGAGTTTCAGAAGTGGACTCATTTGTTCACCATTGAGAGTCCCAAGGTGTATGAGGAAGAGGTGCGTAGCTTCTATGCATATATGTTTACAGTGGAAGATGATAACATTTGTTTGAAGGTAAATGGTGTAGATTTTATGATAGATAAAGTTGTTCTAGGGAAGATTTTGGAAATGCCTACTGAGGGAATCTCATCCATTGAAGGGACATGTTCTCCTAACTTTAGAAGAGCCATTCTAAAGGAAGATGTTGTGCAGCAGAGAGAACAGGTGCACAAGAAGGCACTCCTTCCAATGTATCAAGTTATGTTTGAGATGGTGAATAAGGTCTTGCTTCCACACACAGAAAGGAGTTCTATTACTTCAAAAGTAGACATGTTCCTCGTGGAAGCACTAGATGCCTACACCAGCATCAATCTGCCTGGTCTTATGATAGAGCATATGAAGAAAGTGACATACTTCAAGGACTGCAATCATGGCTTGCCTTGTGGGTTTTTGCTCACTAAGGTGTTCGACTTCTTCAAACTCCCAAAGCAAACTTTCTCAAAGACAACCTTGGAGGAATGTGTGTATTGACAAGAAAGGGGATGTTGACAGCAGTTCTACTATATCTCAATTGGTTGATGCTCAGAATGCTGCAAATGAGGAGATAAGGAGATTGAAGGCCAAGAATGCCACTCTTGAAGGGCAGTTCTATCAAACCAAAGAGGCACCTGGTTCCAACAGTGATCAAGGCGCAGAGGTTTCCTGCTTGACCACTAAGAATGCAAACATAAGGAAACAGGTCGAGGACCTGAAGGAGCGATTGATCAACGAGCAACTATCTGCAAATGCTCGAATGGACATCCTTCTCAGAACCCTTGCCTCCCCATCCATTCTTCCTCCTTCCAGTGCCCCTTAAACAGTTCCCTTCTTGAACTGCTGTTGCCCTATCTTTTTTTTCCAGTTTTTGTTGTTGTTCTTATGGATGGTACTTTAAGTTGTTTTCTGTGGAACATTGTGTAACAATGGTACTAATATTCATGTTCTCTTCACTTTAAAATCAATGTACATTTCATTATTTGCTATGCATTTTATACTCTTACGCTTTGTTCTTAGCCATGTTGTGTGCACGCATGTGACATGAGTTAACTTTGGTAGACGTCTTTTTGTTGTTGCTTGTGTTAAATCTTTTTATGATGCCAAAAGGGGGAAGAGAAAATTTGAAATGATTCAGAGGGGGAACAGAGGGGGACAGGTTCTCAGGGGGAATAAAAGTCCTTTTTGTAGCAAAAATTGTATAGAAATCTAGTTCTCAGGGGGAACTTCAATTATAAGTTTGTCATCATCAAAAGGGGGAAAATTGATAATTACGTACCTTTTTGTATTTTGGTGATCTAACAAACTTCATGATAAGAATCATATTAGGAACCTATTACATATCCTCAAAGTGCTCAAGAACAACAAGTCTCAAGTCTGGTACAAGTTAGAACAACTTGAGTCAAAGAGACGAATAGAGGCAACAGATGAACATCAGTTCCCTTGCTGACAATACAAGCAACTCCTCACAACTATAAAGTTATTGCACTGTTTCTTTGCACACATTTAACAGTGCAAATAGTGCAACAGTCACTTTATCGAGCATGCCTTGTACCAGATAATTGCTCGCATCATCCAAGTGACATCACTTATGTATTATCAACATGAAGCAAGAGAAAAACAAACACTTGAACAATCCGAAAATCATCAAGTCTCTCTCTGAAATGTGCTGCCATCTTCCAAGTGACTTCAAGGATTCAAGAACGAAGGACCAGTTTCCAGCATTGTGTTACCATATGTCTTTAGTTGTGTTGTACCTTGTTAGAGTGATCTACTTGTAATTCCTACTTAGATTAACTAGAAGCATTGTGCAGGAAACTGTCTGTAAAACAATAAACCTTGTATTTGTGACTTGGCTAGATTTAGTCGGTTGTGAGCTTTGCAATATAGTTATTATAAGGAGGTTGTAATATAGTTATTACAAGTAAGTGGGGGATTAAGAGGTTAATTCCTAGGTTACAATATTTTGTAATCTGAAGTTTCCTCAGTTAGTGAAGTTGAAATCCTAAGAGTGTAGGTCGTTGTTTTTAATCCCGTGAGCAGGAAGTTTTTCCCGTAAAACTCTATTGTGTCTTTTACTTATCTCTGATTGTGTGTGTTTTGTGGGAACTAAGGTTCTCTATACAGTTTAGTGAACCCTAAGTTTCCACATCACAAATTGTCATCTTTTGATCACCTGTCATCCAAACTTACTCATGCACATAAGAAATACATAATGAATATATTTTACTTTAAAAACCATGTAATCTCCCGTAAGTCACACAATAAATGAGATAAAAAGACACTCATAAGCATGCACTTTTGGTCATTTATCATTATTGCAGCTAGGTCTTCGCCATCACAGAATTTGGCATTTCTTTCTTCCCTTTATCGCATACTGGTAACCAGCATAGCACTACAGTGTTGATAAAGTGATTCAAATCTCACCTGGGGCTCTTCGGTTCTTAACCCAAACAATCCCAACGAGTAATAAACTTTTATTCCAACTTATACAAGTACTCAGAGATAATTTGGAATGCATTAACTGTATTGGTAAAACTTCGGCAATTCGGTAACTGAAGATAAGTCGTGCCAACAATGGGGTCGACCATGACATTATAATGAAGGGGTCACTCTCGTAAGGGCCATTGGCGAGGACAAGTAACCAGAGTTGCAATTGTAACGGTAGGACTGGCTTAGAAAAGGGCACCAAGAATATTCCCTTGGATATTCCTTATATTGTACTTTTTAGGATTTCTTGGGAATATCCCTTATAAGTAGTAAGAGATAAAGAGCAAAAATGATCTGGGCTTTTCAATAAGAACAGGTTGTAAAGGTTGACTAAAGAGAATATACAAAAGTTGTCTTGTTCACTGATTGCATTATTCAAGCACACGTTGTTCAATATTTATTCACAAGATCTAAAGATTCCATATCCACCTTCACTTCTCATCCTTCCATGTTACTGACAGGAGGAAGGAACATTCCAATCATATAATAATTGGGTGGTAGATCCTTTCTTATTATACTTATTGCCATTATCTACATTTATTACATGTTCATGTTATTATATTCGTGGCCAATCATTGATTACTAAATCCGTTATTTAATGCTCTTGAACAATGTTCATCTTGCGAATATCTTGTTATATTTGGTCTAGAATTTATTAAGTTCAACTAAGATTCACCCTTTAATTCATCATTAATTGGTTTATCTAAAATGTTTATGGTTAAACAATTTAGCGCCGTCTGTGGAGAGGTTTTAGTTGAAATTTTAGTTCCTTCTAGATCACAAAAAAGGACAGCCATCTCTTCTTCGGTTGCACAAACTAACGATAGCAGGAAAAGGAGATGCAAGACAGAAAGCAATAGCATGTGTCACTACCAACATTTTGAACACCATCAACGAGGATGACCGGGAAGACAACGAGAATGCGACACCAAGTGCTATGCCCAGACGGAGTGATTTACCTCCCCCTCATGAAAGTGTAACTGCTTTACGCAAGAGAGGAGCATCAACGTCCACAGTTGAGGAAGCACCGCCAGCAGTGAAAAAATTATTGGAAGAGTGGCTGACAAGTACTCTGAACAATATACTCGATAAACCCGTTCAAAGGGAGAATAGAAACACTGCACAAGCAGATTCCACAACGACCACTGGCAAACAGCCCGCTCCCCGAATAGGTAACACTCACACCACTGTTGATGCAGGTAACGACGCACTTGCAGTCATTTTAAAGAAAAAGGAAGAAATGAAAAACGAGAATAAAGCACTCCGCGACTAGATGAGAGAACATCAAGAAAGGGTAGATAAGATACCGAGCACCCCAAAACTGCTACCAAAGCGAGATGTCAGCCAATTCGTCGAGCAACCGTATAGCAAGGAAGTAGCCACACACGCCATACCCAAGACCTTCAAAATGCCACAATATTTGAAGATATATGATGGCACCACAGACCCGAAAGATCACATTATTTACTATGTCACAGTGGTAAAGGGCAGCAAACTATCAAAGGAGCAAGTATTGCCAGTGCTGCTAAAAATGTTTGACAAAACCTTAACCGGAGGAGCCTTAACGTGGTAGTCGCAACTACCAGCACGGTCTATAACAACGTTCAAGGAAATGGCCGACAAGTTCGTCACTGCCCACATCAGAGCTAAGAAAGCAGAGGCCAGGGTGAACGACATATTCATCGTGAAGCAATCGCCTGGCAAGGGACTCAGGGACTTCCTTGCTAGGTTAAACAAGGTAAGAATGAGCTTGCCAAACGTATCGGAAGGGATGGCAGTAGCAGCCTCCCAAAATGGGCTGAACAGGAATGGGTCGAGGGCGACCAGGAAGTTGTTAAGCAAGTTTATGAAATACCCTCCCACAACTTGGGAAGAAATTCACAATGCCTATTGTGCTGAGGTGAGAGAAGATGACAACGACCTCAACAGTCCAACCCAACGTTTGACGTCGATCCAAACAGAGCCGAGGAGAGATCATCGTAACGATAGTCAAAGAGACCAGTCAGGCCCATGCCTCAACCGAGATAGGAATCAACCCTATGTTAGAACAGCCATTCCACCATCCTCTCAA